CACCCCCACTGGAGCTGTCAACAACGAAGTAAACGACGACGTACCATTTCCACCTTCATGTACTGACTCATTCAAGTTCACTTCACAACCCATCAACGACATCGAACCCGACCCGGAACCCAAACCCGACTCGGATCCCATCATTGTGATCGGGTTGGCGTGTTCTTGAACGTTGCCGGTACTGGAGTTGATACGGGGGCGTTTATGGGAGGAGTTCTTCCGTGTACCGCCGCCGACGGGGACGTTCCTTAAGGTGCCGCCACGTGTCCAATACCGGCGACAGGACTTACAGAAATGACGAGGTTGAGAAAGATTATAGTTGTTGTAATAACAAAACTTTGTGTTTGTAGAATCACAACGTGGACACGGCAAGTTCTCTGGTTCCGATGGCCGTGTTCCGTTTACCGGCGCCGGCAGTCTCGCCGGACGTCTGTCGCCGATTTCTGAAGACATTTTTTTTTCTTTTTTTTGAGCTTGTTTTGTTCAGGTGAAAAAAGGGTGTGTTCTTTTATGTAAGATAGTACGTTGAAAGAGGACAAAGATTTGATTTTTTAAATGAGAGAGAGATAAAGAAACAGAGCTAAAAGAGAAAAGAGAAATTTTTGTTTTGGCGTGAAATAGTGGGTTTCTTATACACACACACATATATATATGGATGGGGAAGGTTTTGAAATTACAGAATGGTTTTGTCGTTACATTAAAACCTCACTGAACTAAATTTTGATTACATTAACACTCTGTTTGGATAATTATTACTCATTATTTTATAATATATTATATTGTACTTTATTATAATGTACTGTATGGTAGATACAATGTTTGGCTAGATTGTATTGTTTGTTGTTGTTTAATAACATATTAATTATTTGATTTGATTGTATCGTACTGTATTGTAATTTATAAATTTACCAAAATATTCTTAATTATTCTAGGGTAGGAGGTTTGATTAGAATTAAATAATATAAGGTAAATGATAAAATAATATTTTGAAATATTATGTAAAGATATAATTGAAAAAAGAAATTAAGTAACAATGGGAACACACCAAATCAGTTGTTCCATAAAATAGAGATTTTCGTTGTTACGTAACAACGAAATTTAACAATACAATACATTTTAAGTAACAATCAAAACAAACATTGTAGGTATAGTAACGATACAATACAATACAATGGGTAACAATAATCCAAACAAAGTGTAAATTCATTATATTTTTACTAATTTATGTGTTATATTTATTAAATTCACATGAAAAAATAAATTTATTATAAATATAGTATAATACATCAAAATTCTTTTATTTGCTAAATTATGTATCATATTTATTGAATTCACATGAAAAAATATTTTTTTTATACATAAAATACAACGTATTTGTATGATTCATTGTACAATACTTTTAGAACCAGTTACGCATAAGGAAACAATTATCACATCTAGAACTCTTCACAATTTTATGGTGCAGTTCGAAAAGACAACACCTGAACTTTTCAATGCAATAAGAAATGTTAAAGATGAACTTCAACTAGATTTAAAGTTTAACAAAAATCAAAACACGATAGAATCATATTTCACTAAATTGTCTTAGATATATTTATACTTTTAAAAAATTATTAATTTATAATATTAATTGAACCATATATTTATATAGGGATTTTCTGAAAATATATTATCTTATTAAAAATATGTGATTTTTTTTCCATTGGCCCTAGTCGGAACCAAATTTTTTTATTAATTTACTGAATATTGATTTAGCGAGATTTTACTATACTAAACATTTCTAATATCTTAGTCATAATTATAACAAGCACTTGGGATTTTCTTGGGTAAACATAGTGTATTCAAGTAGACAATTTACTAATAAGGAAATCACTATTAACATTTAATGAGCTTTGAGTTTTATATATGTTACTCCCTCTGTTTACAAAAGAATGACCTTTTTCTTTTTTTGGCTATACTTTAACTTTAACTTTTCGCGTGGCATGTTTAAGACTACAAGATTAAAGAGTATTTTGATACATTTGATATAACTCTAATTTAAAACCACAAGATTAAAACGTCTTATTTCTTTTCTTAAACTCCAAGTCAAACTAGGTCATTTTTTTAAACGAAGGGAATAGTATAAATATTCTAATAGCTATAATAAGTAAAAATGATCATTATCAATAGATGTGTAATCTGATCACAAGTAAGATTGGTGGAGAGTTTTGTGTTTACAAGCTCACACATACTTCATTATCATTCAACTAAGTAGAGATTGAGGCCCCTTGAGATTCACGTTCACTGCCTATTATACTGCCTTTTGATCAGATATATTACTTTTGTCGAATTGAAATTGACATCACTGCATTGTACTTAAACAGTTGACCGCAGTTCGAAGGCACTTGTTTAATTTTTGATACTTTTTTTTCCATCAGAAATAATATAGAATAAAAAATGAAATAATCAATATCTTAGCGTAGATAGAGAGGTTTCTTTCGAAATCCTCAAGCATAGTAAATCAAACAAGTAGTGATAAGAACAAATTTATCTAAATTAACATTCACATATTCAAGCACGTTTTATATACCATCTTAAGTACAAAAAACAAAAGAAAAACATGAGTCATGTAAAATTAGTTTGATGTAATATTCATACCTTTGGAGTACGTACACAAATTTACTCCTACAATTTAATGTGAAAGTCGGCCAATCATGATCTTTATTTGACATAAAATTTAAATTGATAAATTTGAAATACTAGATCATTAAAAAAAATTTAACGTTAAGTCAATTTTTTTATTGGTATGTTTTGTTTCCCTTTTATCAATACTTGGTTAGTTTTGGTGGTCATTATGGGTCACACAAAAAATGGAAAATTATGGCATGAGCCACGAGCTACTGTTATTTAGTCATCTATCAATTGTAAAGATGTTTCCAAATGATGATAACCAAAGATTATCATTGTAACTTTTAGAACATGCTAAAATCAGTTGACTGATTTCCAAAATCACCGGTGCAAACCTACTTATTTCACTATGACTCATATTTCGTCCTTAATCAAAGGTCTTCGATTTAATATTTTTTGCTAGAAAACATTTTCCCCTAAAATGTGTGTTACACTGTGCTAGTGTCGGTAAGATGAGCCCATAGTTTGGTAATTCATCCAACCCACTCATATTTTAATGAGTTGGAAGAGTGACTTTTTACATGGGTAAAATATGGGTATCATATCCATGTTCAACCCATAAAATATGGGTAAAGTATGGATTAGTCAAACGGTTAAACTTCTAACTTTTATTCACTATATATAAATTCATGATATCACTAAAAATATCGTAATTTCTCTTGCTTTTTATGTTCTTCTATAGAACTAATTATTTTTCACTATAATTGAAAAGGTGAAGTCTTTGGCCCTCCAAAAATATATATTTTAAATGTAATTTCTTTTGTTACTTATAATTATATTTTTTTATTTGTTTAAATTTATATTGGATAATAAATAATAGTGTAAAATAAGCAAATCATGTATTAGTATTGACATTGCTTAAAGTGCATTAAGCATGTTTTAGTCCTAAAATGCAAATATTCATTTACTTTGAAACTAAAAATAGTTTCCCCTTGCTATTACATAATTTTATTTTATACTGAAAAGTTATAGGATTTTTTTTTTACTTTTATGATACAATAAAACTAAATGAAGCATTTTCAACATTTTTCATCTAAAAAAAGACTAAAATATTTTCTCCATGTTGAATTCTTAAGTAGAGTACTATTTACTCAGGTAAATATGGGTAAACTAGTATTTTACCCAATCCATTTTTACCCATATCAAAATATGGGCGAATTGAATTATTACCCATTTTATGTTGACCCATTTTCAACCCGTCCATTTGCCATCACTACACTGTGCGTATAAATCTAAATTAGTCAGACCTCTAATGTGAATATTATTAAAAAAATATATATGTCCAATCACAATCTAGTAGGAGCAGAGCTAAGGGCATAAGTTAATTATATTCATCAATCCGAACTTTCTTCATAAAAAATTACTACATAGATATATGAAGTTAAAATTATTTTTCATGTATATAAAGCACAACTTGATGTGCTAAGCATTAGCTATGCATAGAGTTCGGAGATCATGACAAGACCACAAGGGTACATTTTTGTAAAATGTCATTTTCATAGCTTAAAATTATGATTTATTGATCATATGACAATAACTTTACCAGTTACGTCAATATACTCTCTTTCCATATACATTATAGATATTGATTTTTTCAAGTTCTTTTGAAGTGTTTTTCTTGGAGTATATGTGTTTTGAATTTTTTTAGTTGCAATCTAGTATTTGAGCTTTTGAGTCTCTATGAGTATACTATATATAATGCTAAAAGCTTTTCATGATAGTTTTATATGTAGTAAAAAATTAAACTAGTGGTGCATATATTTTGTATAGCTTGCACCATTAGTTAGTGCTCTCATGATTTGTGATTGTTTTGATGTTAGCGGCGCATTTTTTATGCATATTATCTACCACTATTTAATTCCACATGCAACTTTTCACAAAATTTACTTGACAATCTCTTAGGTTCACCTTATCTTGTTTGGACAATAATATTACATGTGATGTAAGAAAAAAAAACTTGTGGTTTTATCATATGGAATCTACAAAGAATTTAACTATATATATGCAAATATTATTCAAAATATATAATATTCTAGCTATAGCATATTTTTGTTTAATCTTTAAAATTATCATATCAGACTTGATTATAACGAGTTATGTATTATAAACAAAAGAGTTGAGCTTAAATTTGTTAAGAGTATTGATTAAAACAATTTGGATTTACCAAATGCACACCACTAACCCGTCACTTTCTTGCTCTTACTGATCGTTTGGTATGAAAGATAAAAGATAAAAGACGAGGAGTAATTTTGCTATAACATATAAAATTATTTTATTTTATATTTAAATTAATTTATATTGCGAGTACTTAATGATGGGATAAGTTTTTTTATATATAAAATAAATAATTAATCTCATAAAGTATTATAAATTTATAAAATAACTTTATCTATTCCATCACTTGTACCAAACGATCTCTTAAAACTAATTTTTGCCCGGTCTAAGCAGATATGAAAAAAAATATGGACACGACAATATATAGGACCGACCACCTTGAACCTATTTGATCAGGACTTCCTTTTGACTAATGGAAATGACAGTTAACAAATAATTAATTTGGAAAATTTGTGTATAAAAAACGACTTTATATTTAGCCCCTAAAAAGTCTATAAATTTACAAAGTCAACAGATTAAGCAAGTTAGAATACACGACGACGTTAAATTTCAGATATTTAAATTACTATTTATTTTGATTTTGTATTTAAAATGACATTTTTCTTAATATTGACTCTAATATAATGTGTATTTGAAAATATACATAAAAGCTTTTAAAAAATTAATCAACTTATAATTCAAATATTCATATAAAATTTACCTTTAATTTTAAAAAAATTATCTGTATACTCCACTACATTTAAAGTCATTTTCCTCATACGTGCAACAAAAAAGGTAGATAGGCTTATGCTCACTCAAATAAAAATTCTTACATTTATAATATCTATTTTTCACATTTACAAATGCTAGTGCGACTAAATTTTATTATGGCTTTCAATTTTTTTCTTTTAGTTTATCGTTACTTGGTAGAGACTTTGGTGACTATAAAATTAGTTTTTTAATAAAATATTTACAAATATTTAACGTATTTTTTTATATGTATCATATACGAAATAAACAAAAGCTATTGATTTACTTGAACATGTAGCTACATTTACCCACGTAATAAGTAAAAAATGAATTAAATCAATAAAATAAATTAATACATATTTAATTTAAAATATTTTATATTAAAAATCAATTCAAATTGAAACCAAATCATGAACATCCTAATTAGTACTGACTAACGAGTGGGGGTGGGGGTGAAATAAAATAGTTTAAAAGGGAAAAGGACAAGGAAGATAGAGTCTCCGGGGATGAGATCGTTATTTTCTTAATTAGAGATTTCAACTCTTTTTATTAAATAGAGTCTTACGTGATACACATTCAAAATAGTTCAACTTTAATATAAATTCTATACATCAAATAAAAAATCAAAAATTACAACAATGAAATTTTATATAAACATATATATTTAAAATAATCAAACTTTAATATAAACGAAACTAACACATAGAAAATCAAATCGCAACGCATGGGGAGAAGTGAGAATAATGGGAGATTTTATGTTTTAGGGATTTGAGAAGCCGACAGTATAATTGAGGTTGTCGGGTTAGCGTGGGAAGCAATTTGTGGGTCCCCCTTTTCACCTCCACTCATCCTTTCTTATCAAATCGGTGCTCACTACAACTCACCAAATATTATTCGTAACATGAAAAATAACACAATCTATTATATCGGAATTGTAAACTGTTAATCAAACACTATAGAAAATCGAGGGTCAAAATTAATGAATACTTTCACTTTTTTTTTTATCTATACTTAACAGATTTGAGTATGTCAAAAAAAGATAAATCAATTTAGGAAACCAACAAATCACCTCACTTAAGATGAGGGACGTCTGCTGATTTTATTAATACATAAATAATTTACCTTCTAACGATACCAATATTGTGTGAAAAGTCTAGTGGGAGTGGCAGGCGAAAAAGAACATTTGACAGGTCTTGGTTAGTCCTATGTTTAATGAATGAGCAAAAGAGTTCAATATTTAGTGTTCAATTTTCTTAAAAATTGTAACCAGTCTCTAATCTCTATGTGTCTGTTTGTTTCAGAATTAGAGATAGTTACAAACAAAAACCTGTGCTTTAATCCAAGAAATAGTACTACAAAATCAGTCACTTATCTGATGTGATCTCCCTCTGCTCACTTCTGTTTTTTTACGCATTGTCGTTTTCATCTCTTTATATAACACACAAATTACTGACTCAACCTCTTTTTCTCCCCTTATTTGTGAAAAAATATGATGTTTATCTTTATTGAAAATCTTACCTATCTATATTAGTTAGCCTCGAGGGAAATAGCTTTTTCGTGAGACATAAGTTTATATTTTCACATCATAATATCCTATAAGTTATGTCTTATGTCCTTAAAGAACTTATATCTTGTGAGACATAGATTCAGTTACAAAAGAAAAAATATTAAAAATCGATCCGTTTGAAGGACAGACGGTGCAATTAAATACTAAAATTATCATCATAATGATAGTGAATTTACTTGGACTAAGTTCGAAAGAAAGATGTCCAAATTCATAACTTAAAACTAACAAAATAGCAAGCTCTGCTAATACAGAGTAGAAAGTTCAAATCTTGGGCAGCCAGATGCACTAAAACGGCCAAACCACAAGAGTTTATTATAGGCAGTCTTATCTAACATTTCTGCAGGAGTGATGAGACTATTTCCATGGTCTGAACCCGTGACCTCCTGATCACATGACAACAAATTTACCTGTTACGCTAATTAAAGACTCCCTTTCAATTTCTTGGCTTGATATGAGCTAGCATTGGGTGAAGTTTATGAGTAGTAAGACCCATTGTTGCAACATTTTCCTCTTCTCCCTCTTTTAAGCTCCATTTAAACTCTTGTATCAATCTAGCTATAGCTGTGCAGCTAATTGTCATTGCTTGCTGAGCACCAGCACATACCCTTTTTCCAGCCCCGAACGCCATTGTCTTCTGCAATTCCATTGGATCATACTTTCCGTTAAGAAATCGTTCAGGCTTCCACTCTTCAGGACACTCCCACACGTCCTTGTCCCTATTGCAACCGTATATATTTATAGCGATCTGCGAACAAAATGTATATAGACAACTAATTCAGTTACCTAGATAAGAAATAATAACAACAATGAATTCCCACGTCTACTTATAAGCTCATTTTGTAAATGTGTGCCTAGGTGGGCACGTCCTAACGATATCTGTATGGTCAGGATTGATCATGAATTGACAAGTTTTACTCTAAGCTGCCAACCAGCTACAACCCTTTTCGACTTGGGACTGACAATGTAAGCAAAGCTCATACACGCGGAGTTTACCTCACTTGATAAGAAAAGAAAATTTCAATTTACAAGTAGGGAAATAGAGTTAATTACCTCAGTTCCTTTAGGAATATAGTACCCTCCTACCTGCGTGTCTTCGTGGACATATCTTAGAGGAACAATAGGCACAGGACTATACTTCCTCAATGTTTCATGAAAGACAGCACATAAGTATGGAAGTTGGCAAAGTTTCTCTTCTGTGATCTTGTTAGATCCACAAACATTTTGAATTTCCAAAAAGAGTTGTTCCTACGCGATTAACAGCCGTGAGATACAACCAAACTTTGGAGAAATAGAATAGCAAAAACAAGAAGTGGGCATGATTATGATACTACCTGTCGTTTGGGATCTTTCGCCAATTCATACATTGCCCATTCTGTACTCACTAGTGTGGTGTCTGATGTTTCAATAATTGCCTCCCAAAGCAACATCAGAGTTTGCTTCTCTGTTAACGTATTGGCTTCAGATAACAAGTAGTCGATATAACTGTTCAGTTCCTGTATATAGATTCCGCCACGTTAGATAATTAGCCAAGGTCCAAACATGATTATGGAGTGGAAATAAGTGTCTGCTTAAAAGGAGGAAGAAGATCACCTCTCCCGAATTAATACGTTTCCTTTGATCTGCTATTAGGGCCTTCATCACGGCTTCCCTGCGCAGATGTTTACGCTGAATTCTGTGCTCAAAGCTTTTGTTAGGAACCCATTTTAGATAGGGGAAGAAATCTCTCCAATCCACATCAATTGCACCATCCATTATATCAAGCACTAAGATATTGAGTAATTCCTCTCTTGGCAAAGTGGCATCGAGTCCCTCCACATAAATAGCCTCTATATCCTTTCCCAAAGTCTGCAAATGAAGTTAAAACTTTTAAAATGATTGCGCAGTTTAAAGGAGTTTCCAAAATAACAACATACTGATGAAACTCACTTGTTTCAATGCTAAACCAAAAAGTTCTGACTGAAATGACTTCCTGAGATTAACTGCTTCGTTAGGATCAGTCCTAACCAAATCATGTAGTTGCTTTGACACATTTTCTACCAAGGTGTCCCTGTGGATACGGAAGCGCCTCTGCATATTAAGCAGTACTTCCCGTTAGATACGGAGTCTATGAAAAAAATGAGGAGAATCAAATTATAATTCAAAATATGGAGGCCAATTTCTAAATGACAAACCTGAGCAGTTGGTCCTAGAACACTGGTCAGTACATGGCGCTTTGCTGTCTTGTGAAACTCATCGTAATCACTTATTGCAACTATACTCTTATCACAAGTAAGGATTCTCAATGCGTTTGTTAGCTTTCTAGTTGAGATGGATGAAAATCTAGTCACCATAGTCTAAAAAGACGAAAAAGGACAATATTTAAATCTGTATCATGTATTGTGATCAGTATAGATATGATAAGCACACAAATGACACAATGGTGATTTAAAAAATAAGCACCAAACATGCCTCTATATATTGGCTTATACCTCAACCTATTGGTGATGACACCCCAGTAGTATCAATGTTACACGTGAGTCGTTACTTTGGTGTTGATGCTTATTCTACGTGATAAAGAACTACAATACCTTGAACATTGCAAAAGCTCTCCTCTTGCAAGGGAACTGGAGCTAAATACTTTAAGCTCTGTGCAACAATGTGCGATTAGTCGTCTAACCTCAACATTAGTTTATAAGATCTTCATATTCTATGTATTTTCTCAGATATTATCAGAAATTTATAAAGCCTCAACCAGCTATATAGTGAAAATGGAACTTTGCTGATACACCGCGACTGAGGTGGTACATGACACTACTTTATCATATCTAGTACGGTGATTCAGAACCTCAACAACCGAAGCTTTTCCAGTAGAACAGTTGAGGTCTTTCCAGAGAGCAACCAACCTATAATCCAGTGATGTATAGAAACCAAATATGGAAATAGCAGTTGTCTAAATCACCAACTGCTTCACCTTCGTAGTATGGCCTAGTCTTAACAAAGAGGCACTGAGGAATACAATCCATTTAGTGATCATCGAGAGGCAGGGACACGTACTTTAAGTTGGATCCTATAGGTAAGTGGAGATAGAGCTACATAGTACTGAAACCTATGCAACTGCAGCTATCAGGAAAATTTGGGGCTCATATACAGCATTAGTCAGATTATAAGCTTTATCGCCCTGGTGAGTCAGACTAAAGTAAAATATTTCTGACTCTCACTGCATAGTAGTAAAGAAACATATCTAATTCCTACTAAATGGTGTGGTCCTAAAGGAACACATATTTGTCTACATTTCTCCGTCACCACTCTCCTCTTTCTGCTAACCATTTTAACTAATTTTTACTATGCGTGTGATATCTCATATAATAGTATCTTTCTAGCTAGAAAAACTTGACATAAAACCTTTTGACATCATACAAAATTAAGACAGAAGAAGCTATACAGCAACCAAGAAATGGATAATGACTTACTTTAGTGACAAACTTAGAGCTCGAATGCTTGATTCCTAACTTACTAACATTGAAAAGAGGTTGAGAGTGATTATTTTGATTACCTCCTTAGCAAGTTCACTAGAACTGAGTACAACAATTGTATTTGCGCCGGTTTTGATGGAATAAATAGGTCCATAAGTTTCAGCCCAATTTGTAAATGTCTTGTGTGGTTTTTTCTCAGTCATCTGCAGCAAATTCCCAATCACTGGTAACCCTGGAACCTCTGCACCAAATCAACACATACTTCTCATCAACATTTACCTATCTACATGCTAGGCAGACGAATCTCACGTCGACACAGAACATAGACATATATATAGAAAATTACTAAAGATTTCAACATTTTTAACATAACTTTTAAGGTTGAACCATCAAATTTAAATCACGGATCCTCCTTTGGCTATATGTTACAAACTCAACAAATTGGGGGCAGGGTTAGTAAACCTATTCACGTGAACCCAATCACCTTTTTTTTTTTTGAAATTCTAAATTCATTTAAAAAATCCACTAAATATCTATAAATGTTTGATTATAAACACAGTTATTATTATTTATTAACTCGAGCTAACTACAACAAACCTATAACCTTCAAATTTTGAATCTACATGTGTTGGGGGCAATTAAATTCAATCCAAAAATGGGGGCAAGGTTTACAAGGTGGAGAATCAAACCATCACCATAGTTTCAGATAGTCAATCAACTGAGCTACTATGATTTCGCAGAATTGAATACAAAAGACTCAAAAGTAATGAATTTACCTGGAACAGGTGGGAGAAAATTTGAAGATTTCCTTTTTTGATCATTAACATATTCCTTAAGTAACCAAAATGAAATCCCACCAAGAGCAACAACTGGACCACCTACAGTAAGAGCAGTTCCTAATGGTACAGCTTGAAGATTCAAAATTGCATCCATTTTTTTACACAACTTCTGTTTTCAAGAACCAAAAAAAAAAAAGAAACTTTATAACTTGAAATCACAAATAAAAAAAAAGTTGGTGACTATGTATAGGCTTGGAAGAACACGTGTCAATATCAACAAAAAAAGATTCTACCTTTTGGGAAATTGATGCCTACAAAGAAACTGATGAATAAGAAGACAAATTAACTTATTAATTATCAAAAGTTGCAATCTTTGGAGGTTTCTTTAGAAGCAAAATAAAGGTAAAAACAGAGGTGGTGGTAGGTGTTTGGACCAGCTGGACACTTTCTGTCCTGTTGGTTGTTACGGTGCATCAATTTTGATAGCGTTTGACTATATATTTTGGATAATCTTTAAAAGGAAATATTTTTAAATGTCTTTTTGATCATGATTTTGGATAGTTATTAACCAAATTTCTTTAAATATCTATTTAATCATTAATTTTAGATGATTCTTAAATATTTGTCTTTAAATATCTATTTTATAATTAAATTTGGTCAATTTTTATTTTTTAATATTTTCAAATTATTAAAATTTGACTTAGACTAGTTTTGAATTTTTGAGAATTTCATTTATAATTTTTTTCCCATATGAAATGCATTTTTAAACATAATTTCAAATTTTTTAAAATTATAGCTTTAATATCATATTTTAAAAAAATTTATGGCCAAACGAGTGTGTTTTTTCTAATTGCTCACTCATTGCTGTTATCTGTGTTGGTGTGTATATTATCTTGTCCGTCACTTTATATAGTGGTGTTTGCCTTTGTTAGTATTTTGAGTTTAGTGAATTTTAATTTTTTTTAATAAATTATATATATACATATTGAATAAATTATTTTATATAAATATGAAATTTATGTTAAAATGATTATAAGTCTTGACAAATTCGTAAAGAATAATTGGCTCCCTCCATATTCTCCATCTATACAAAAAACAAGATTTGGTCCATTTGGACACACATGAAAAGTACTTTAATAAATTAGCATCATTGTGAGTTGATTTCATAGACAATAATTAATTTTTTATTTTACTAATATCGAAGTTATAATTTATATTTTATAATATTGAAGTTACTCAACTTTACTTCAGTACTCGGTACTCGCAGAACATCAAGTCACAAAATTATATTTTATAATGTAAATATATTTTTTAGAATTATAAATTTTCTTTAACTAAAAAGTCATTCAATTTTATTCAAATATCATATATAATTATCCTTTATTTTCTCCTCTGTGACTTTATATTACTTATGATTATTTTATTATTTATGATCACTACGAATTAAGTAAACCCCCAAGTCTCCACCTTCTTATAACCCCTGATTTCTCAAGACAACAAAACTCAAATCAAATTAATAATCTAAATCTAAGCAAATTAAACTCCAATTAATTATACAGTCGATCTATTTTTAAGTTGTTAAAATATTCGAATGAACATTGAACACTATTTTAATTAGCATCAAAATCTAAATAATAATATTAAAATTAAATTGCAGTGCGCATTCCCTTATTAGCTATTATTGCACTGTATGGCTGTGCACGTAATAGTTCACTTTTGCTAAAAAGAAGTTTTATTACTCCTAATCAGTCAATATTTTTTATTACTTTTCTCTAATTGAGCCATCAGCCATTGCAGCTTCCACTACTAATTTTTTGTCTCGCTAATTTTATTTAGCAACAAATTATCGATGAATTTATGTTATCTATACGAGCACAAATAGCGATGAATCAGCGAAGAAGTTTGCTAATGGATCGTCGGAGATGGTGGGGTTAATTATAGCATATATATCTCCCATGCTAATATAAAAATGGAAATATAAGATAATTTGCCGTGAAATTTGAGGATGATGAAATATATGCATAAATCATCGACTTAAGATAACAAAATTTCAAGCAACAAAGCAAAAAAGAACAACACATAGTAAAAAGCATAAATAAAAATGAGAAACTACATAATTATTAAATACTACGTACTACTATAAATACAGGAGGACATCTTACGAACAATCATACTCAACTATCTATTAATCTTCTATATATCTTAATATTCGACTTCTGTATTTTTATTTTTTTTTATGTAGGATCATGTAAAACATTGCTTTAAAATTTCAATAAATGTGAATAGAATTGGTTGAAGTAACTCGAATCAATTAAAAGAAAAATAAATTTAAGTCAAGAAAAACTGTTAAAATAATCATTAACTCCCATGACTAATCGAATGCTTAAATTCTTCTATTTTATCATCCTAAATCTTAATTATCATTTGGATTATATCCTAATGACAAGTGTTTGTACTTTCTTTCTTCACTTAACCCACGCGCCTTGATTTCCCCATTCTGTGCTACGTGTAACTCACGCTTTACCCCACGGGGTATTTCAGGAATTTCCTTTACCCCACTCCACCCCACCCCACCCATCCCCACCAGCTCGCTCGGGTCACATTGCTCCGTGCAGAAATTGTTAATTTTCATCTGAAACTTTCTTCTTTACGAGTCAATTAATTTCCATTTTTTTTCTCGATTTTCAACATTTGCTTTCTGAATTTTGATTGCTGTGTGTTTGATTAGTTGCTTAATTTCACATCCCCAGATTCTAAGAAAATGGGGTTGAAGGAATTTTGTGGGGTTCTTTAGGGTTTTAGCTTCAAAATTTAGGTGAAAAAGAGGGGAAATAGAGATGTTGGATGCAAGAAGGCCTCATTTTCTTGTGGGTTTTAACCCTTCCATGAATTCTGAAAAATTGGTAAGCATTGGTTCACATTGCCATATTGCTCTTAGCTTCACAACTTTTTGGTACATTCATGTTTGTTGAATTTTTCTTTTTTGTTCCTTTATATATCATTCTGTCAAAAAAAGACTTAAATCTTTTTACTGTGTTGGGTTTGTTGCTATTCTTACTGCATTTGGGCTAATTGTACAAATGAGCAAAAGTGTTTTGAAGAAAGGGGTTGGCCAAGAATGTTGTTTTTGGATCTAAGCAACTAACTTTAGTGTAACTATAAGGACTACTCATTGGCCAAGAATGTTGATTTTTGATCAAAGCAACTAACTTTAGTGTAACTGTAAGGACTACTCATTGGCCAAGAATGTTGTTTTTGGATCAAAGCAACAAACTTTAGTGTAACTATAAGGACTACTCATTGGCCTAGAATGCTGTTTTTCCATCAAAGCAACAAACTTTAGTGTAACTATAACTGTAAGGACTATTCATTGGCTAAGAATGTTGTTTTTGGATCAAAGCAACAAACTTTAGTGCAACTATAAGGACTATTCATTGGCTAAGAATGTTGTTTTTGCATCAAAGCAAAAAACTTTAGTATAACTATAAAAACTACTCATTGGCCAAGAATGTTGTTTTTGATCAAAGCAACAAACTTTAGTGTAACTATAAGGACTACTCATTAACAAATGCATGATGACAGTGAATGTTGCATTGAGATTGCTTTTTATTTAGGCTGTTTTAGTAGTTCGTTTTTAGTACTTTGAGCTACGTTTGCTTCACTTAGTAAACAATTGTGTCATACAGATATGAGTATTCGATATGCTACATATCAGACAAATGGTACATTCATTGTTTAAGTTTAACGAGCTTCATAAGCTATAAACTGAGATCTTAGCGTTCAGAGTATAAGGGGGGGATTAACTTAGGGCCCTGCATAGGTGTGTGATAGGCTCCATATGAATGAGCTATGTCAGGCGTGTGATACTTTGCAACATGGTTATTTTAAGGCAGTATTAAGAGTTTTGTAATAGAGATCAGTATCCGTTGCTCTTGGAACGACTTGCCTATGCATTTTAAAATGAAGTTATTTTGTTTTTAAAACAAACTCTTCTGAAGAACTTTATGTTATCAACTCTTGCAAAGTTTATTAATTGTTTTGATTCCTATATTGCAGAAAATTCCATCAAAATTCATTAAACATATGGAAGGAAGGGATTCTGGAACAACAGTTTTGGTGGGTCCCAGTGGAAATGCTTGGCCTGTGGACTTAATACAGCAAGATGATGGTTTATTCTTCCACAATGGATGGGTTTCATTTGTTAAAGATCACTGCCTTGAAACAGGGGATTCTTTGGTTTTCAGATATGATGGTGATTTGCATTTCACTGTGCAAGTATTTGACGAGAGTTCATGTGAGAAGGAGGCTGCTTATAACGCTGACTGCAGTTAAGGAGCAACTGACTTGTACAATCTTGCTCTGAAAAACCGAGACAGAGGAAACTCTGTTTTATTAGATTGCCTTGTTGTGAAGGTGTACCGAAGAAAATGAGAAGCACCGAGATCCCTTCCGAATGCACAAGTAGCCAGGATACCCATGGTCTTGCATCTAGCAAGGATGGGTACACTCCAGAAGATGCAGTTTGCTCATATGCAGGAAGAAATTATGCTGCTAGTTTTCTGGATGAAATGGAGAATGCTGGAGATGCATTAAACAGTAAAGTTACCATTGCTGTGCCAGCTCAAGCAAAGATAATCTTTAGCAATCCAGGTGAATGGTTATATTGTTTATTTTTATTGTTTTCAGTTCAATTTTTCTAGTTTGAGAAGCGTTCTTTGAATTGTCCATAAGTTTAATCAAGCCAATTTGATGTTACAGTTCATTTTAATCATGCACAGACATTTAGTAAACACCAATTTTTCCCATTGAATTGTGCAACTGCCTTGTCAAAAATCTACGTGTTTAGAGAGCCGACACTTTTATTTGTATATTTTAAGTTCAGAACATACTTGTCTCATGTGTTGCCTGATTCTTTACAACTTGGTAATGTTTCTTACTCTGCAAAGTGTTTGTATACATTTTTGCCCTGCAATTCTCCTAACCCATTATTTTGTTGTTTTCGTAATGGCAATGAAATTTCAGCTGTTAGAAATAACTATTTAACAAAATTTTTAGTTATGATTTGGAATAGTAACTGGTTTTTGAATCTAAAGCAAAGGTGAAAACAGGCAATGGTTCCTCCTAGAAAGATATGTGGTTGCCTGCACAGGAAGCAGAAAAGGTTGCCCGTTTGTTTACCTCAAGTTTCCCCTGTTTTACTAAAGTTATGAAGAGGTTCAACATCAGTGGTTCATACACCCTGGTGAGTAGGTTTTCTGTTTTCTTTAAACTAACATTTCTTGAAATGTCTTGCTGCAACTACAAAATCTTACAGTAGCCTTAGCTACTGTAATGCATTGCTTCAACATATTTTACTATCAATAAGTGCATCAAATGAGCTTTTATGGAGGAAGACAACTTATATTTACAGGATAATCAACACACGGTTCCTTTATCCCCTTTTACCTTTCATGATGAATTGGCTAAACTCAAAAAAATAGCATTGAAATCGATTTTTATTGACCAATCAGCATTTTTCATAAATCTTTTTAAACATGAATGTTGTCGTTGAGGATTATGTGCAACGTGGTAAAGTTGTTTTGGTTGTAATAGTTTTGTTGCCAACAATATCTGAGCTGCCTAATGATGTTTCTGTTTGTTTTACTAACTGAACTAAATATTTTATGTATTTGACCCGAAAAAAGAACAATGCACAATTGAAATAAATAGTCTTGGCATGAAACTGAATTGAGATTGCTCAAGAAGGAATTTAAAACTGGTTTAACTGGTTATTTGTAAAGATTAAGGGGTCGTTTGGTAGGTCGCATTAAACATTTGAAATGTGAGTTATTTAACATTAACTAATTAAAAAGGCAAATATATCACCACATGACGTTTGTGATTTTATATATATATATATATATATATTGTTTGTGCGGTTTCCTAATTATTTGTATTTTGAACAATTTATAGAATTGAATACATTTTAAAATTACAACTTGCAATTTTATGTGTAAATGTAGATGATTTATTCAATTTTACTATTATTTACCGTCTTTTCAATTTTAAAAGTTGATAGTTTATCTTTTTTAAATTGAAAATTTACATTTTGTAAGTGATCAATTTACTAAGATAACAATTATTTATCCTCAAATAATTTTTTTGTTATATAATTCTGATTTCTCTTCGTTATCGATTTCGAAATAATTTATCGACGTCGATTATTCTTATAATGAGTAACACGGGAAGAAAAAGAAAGATGAAAGGATTTGGTGGGTGTGTTCAGGATGGGGTGGGGGAGATATTTCTTTTTTGTTATCGCCGGAGGAATCGGTGGTGGATGGAGATGGCGGAGTGACAGAGAAGAAGACGAAGGAGTAAAGGCAATATGTTAGATGGGTGGGGATGGGGGAGACATTTTTTTTTGTCAATTTAATTTTCTAAATTATTAAAGGTTGAAAATAATTTTTTGTTTTTCAAAATTAAAATTATGGGCCCATGTGCCACGTGTCGTAATTCTATTCGTGATTTTGTCAAAATTATGTGTGTGATTTACACGCACAATATTTTTAATGGTAGTTGTCATTTTATGTCCAATAGATAAATATTCGTTAATATTAAAGTGTCTAATAGGTAAGGTCTTAATTGAGGTGTCTAAATGAATTATGCGGACAACTTTAAGGGGATGTCGATGACTTAAGCCTTAATGGTGTGATTTACACGCACAATATTTTTAATGGTAGTTGTCATTTTATGTCCAATAGATAAATATTCGTTAATATTAAAGTGTCTAATAGGTAAGGTCTTAATTGAGGTGTCTAAATGAATTATGCGGACAACTTTAAGGGGATGTCGATGACTTAAGCCTTAATGATACCACCAAATGAAAGGTATTAGTTATACATCCTATAATACCATGTAGGGTGTATAACTAATCCATGGATTATACATAAGCCCAAATTCCTACCAAACATAGTACTAAATAATATCATACTTAATACATGGACTATTTCTCCTAGTACTCCCTACCAAACGACCCCTTAGCGTTATAGTTTTCTTAAAATTGTAGCCAGTCTCTAATCTCTATGTGTCTGTTTGTTTCAGAATTAGAGATAGTTACAAACAAAAACCTGTGCTTTAATCCCAGAAATAGTACTACGAAATCAGTCACTTATCTGATGTGATCTCCCTCTGCTCACTTCTGTTTTTTTACGCATTGTCGATTTCATCTCTTTATATAACACACAAATTACTGACTCAACCTTTTTTTCTCCCCTTATTTGTGAAAAATTATGATGTTTATCTTTATTGAAAATCTTACCTATGTATATTGGTTAGCCACGAGGCAAATAACTTTTTCGTGAGACATAAGTTTATATTTTCACATCATAAGTTATGTCTTATGCCCTTAAAGAACTTACATCTTGTGAGACATAGATTCAATTGCAAAAGGCAAAAATTAAAGATCGACCCGTTTGAAGGACAAACGGTGCAATGAAATGCTAAAAATTATCATCATAATGATAGTGAATTTACTTGGACTAAGTTCGAACTGGATAAGTTAAAGAAAGATGTTCAAATTCATAAACAAAATAGCAAGCTCTGCTAATACATAGTTGAAAGTTCAAATCTTGGGCAGCCAGATGCACTAAAACGGTCGAACCACAAGAGCTTATTATACGCAGTCTTATCTAACATTTCTGCAGGAGTGATGAGACTATTCCCATGGTCTGAACCCGTGACCTCCTGATCACATGACAATAAATTTACCTGTTACGCTAATTAAAGACTCCCTTTCAATTTCTTGGCTTGATATGAGCTAGCATTGGGTGAAGTTTATGAGTAGTAAGACCTATTGTTGCAACATTTTCCTCTTCTCCCTCTTTTAAGCTCCATTCAAACTCTTGTATCAATCTAGCTATAGCTGTGCAGCTAATTGTCATTGCTTGCTGAGCACCAGCACATACCCTTTTTCCAGCCCCGAACGCCATTGTCTTCTGCAATTCCATTGGATCATACTTTCCGTTAAGAAATCGTTCAGGCTTCCACTCTTCAGGACTCTCCCACACGTTCTTGTCCCTATTGCAACCGTATATATTTATTGCGATCTGCGTACAAAATGTATATAGACAACTAATTCAGTTACCTAGATAAGAAATAATAACAATGACAATGAATTCCCACGTCTTCATATAAGCTCATTTTTTTGTAAAACTGTGTGCCTAGGTGGGCACGTCCCAACGATATTTGTATTATCAGGATTGATCATGAACTGACAAGTTTTACACTGGCTGCCATCCAACCACAGCCCTTCTCGGGCTTGGGACTGACAATGTAAGCAAAGTTCACACATGCGGAGTTTGCATCACTTGATAAGACAATAAAATTTTAATTTACAAGAAGTAGGGGGAAATGGTTAATTACCTCAGTTCCTTTAGGAATATAGTACCCTCCTACCTGCGTGTCTTCGTGGACATATCTTAGAGGAACAATAGGCACAGGACTATACTTCCTCAATGTTTCATGAAAGACAGCACATAAGTATGGAAGTTGGCAAAGTTTCTCTTCTGTGATCTTGTTAGATCCACAAACATTTTGAATTTCCAAAAAGAGTTGTTCCTACGCGATTAACAGCCGTGAGATACAACCAAACTTTGGAGAAATAGAATAGCAAAAACAAGAAGTGGGCATGATTATGATACTACCTGTCGTTTGGGATCTTTCGCCAATTCATACATAGCCCATTCTGTACTCACTAGTGTGGTGTCTGATGTTTCAATAATATCCTCCCAAAGCAACATCAGAATTTGCTTCTCTGTTAACGTATTGGCTTCAGATAACAAGTAGTCGATATAACTGTTCAGTTCCTGTATATAGATTCCGCCATGTTAGATAATTAGCCCAGGTCCAAACATGACTATGGAGTGGAAATAAGTGTCTGCTTAAAAGGAGGAAGAAGATCACCTCTCCTGAATCAATACGTTTCCTTTGATCTGCTATTAGGGCCTTCATCACGGCTTCCCTGCGCAGATGTTTATGCTGAATTCTGTGCTCAAAGCTTTTGTTAGGAACCCATTTTAGATAGGGGAAGAAATCTCTCCAATCCACATCAATTGCACCTTCCATTATAGTAAGCACTAAGATATTGAGTAATTCCTCTCTTGGCAAAGTGGCGTCGAGTCCCTCCACATAAATAGCCTCGATATCCTTTCCCAAAGCCTGCAAATGAAGTTAAAACATTTAAAATGATCGCGCAGTTTAAAGGAGTTTCCAAAATAACAACATACTGATGAAACTCACTTGTTTCAATGCTAAACCAAATAGTTCTGACTGAAATGACTTCCTGAGATTAACTGCTTCATTAGGATCAGTCCTAACCAAATCATGTAGTTCCTTTGACACATTTTCTACCAAGGTGTCCCTGTGGATACGGAAGCGCCTCTGCATATTAAGCAGTACTTCCCGTTAGATACGGAGTCTATGAAAAAAATGAAGAGAATCAAATTATAATTCAAAATATGGAGTCCGATTTCTAAATGACAAACCTGAGCAGTTGGTCCTAGAACACTGGTCAGTGCGTGGCGCTTCGCTGTCTTGTGAAACTCATTGTAATCACTTATCGCGACTATGCTCTTATCACAAGAAAGGATTCTCAATGCATTTGTTAGCTTTCTGGTTGAGATGGACGAAAATCTAGTCACCATAGCCTAAAAAGATGAACAAGCACAATAGCAAGATGTCAAAAATAATTTCTCTATATCAAGTATCGCGAGTACATATATGATATATAAGCCACACAAATGACAAAGCGATTAAACGAGCATCAAGCATGCCTCTATGTGTTTAGCTTATACCTCAACCTATTGGTGAATTCGTCACTGTATACTGTTGATATTACCGAGTCATATTTACTATATGATAACAATATCTTGAACATTGCACTACTCCGTGTCTGTCTTATCTCAAGCTCTCCTCTTTCAAGGAAACTGGTGCTAAATACGTTAAGCTCTGTGCGGTTAGTCGTCCAACCTCAAGAGTAGTTAAGTAGGATCTTCATGTTTATATTATTTTCTCTGATACTATCAGAAATTTATAAAGCCTCAACCAGCTGTGTAGTGAAAATGGAATTTTCGCTGATACACCGCCAATATATGCCACAACATTTTGGAGATACAGCTATATAGTACTGAAACCTACGCAGGTTGCAGCTACAGCTATCAGGAAATTTTGGGGCTCATGATATACAGCATTAGTCAGAATATAAGCTTCATCGCTACGTTCAGTCAGACTGAACTAAAATATTTCTGACTCTCACTACATATTAGTAATGAAACATATCCAATTCCTACTAAAATTTGTGTCTACATTTCTCCGTCGGCCACTCTCCTCTTTCTGCTTAATAGGACATAAAACCCAAAATTAAGACAGAAGAAGCTATACAGCAACTAAAAAATGGATAACAACCGTACAAAGTTTACTTTTAGCGACAAACTTTGAACTCTAATGCCTGAATCCTTACTTATTAACATAGAGAAGAGGTTTAAGAGTGATTACCTCCTTAGCAAGTTCACTAGAACTGAGTACAACAATTGTATTTGCGCCGGTTTTGATGGAATAAATAGGTCCATAAGTTTCAGCCCAATTTGTAAATGTCTTGTGTGGTTTTTTCTCAGTCATCTGCAGCAAATTCCCAATCACTGGTAACCCTGGAACCTCTGCACCAAATCAACACATACTTCTCAT